GAGGAGAAGGAGGACAGGGATGGGGCGGATAGCTCCGACGAGAAGGAGATTCGGCTTGATCCATATTGTGTCTTCGACCGCTACTTTTGCGACAAAGATGCTAAGGGTGCCAGTAAGGGCAGGAGTGGAGGATCTTTGTCTATAGCATAGTATGTATGTAGAACCTGCCAAAATTTGGTAGTCCGATAACATGTATGATGTAGTAGTCGGGCATCCGACTGTATTGGAAGTTTATTATGCATGTGTAGTATGGATTTGGAGTTTGCTAATTGAGGTACCCAAATGTAGGAGCGAAAATTTAAGGTGTGACCAGCCATTGTCTGCATATGTGCATGGTCGCGTCGTGGACGTATGAGGGGTCGGTCTAGCTGTATGTGCTGGTCATTTAAATCAACAACATTTTCTGCGAACATACAACAACAAAACAAAAAAACTTAAACATGCACATTGGACAACATGTCAATCCCTAAGACATCAATCATAGCGAGTATGCTATATGGAAATGATACTAAATGTGGCATCCTATAACCGAATGCAGATCTAGCATACCTTGCTAGCCTCCACGTAATATCGATCCCCAGACTTCACTTTCACATGATGTACATGTGGAAAACATGCATTTACGTGGTGTAGCATAACATCGTCCATCATCATACCTGTAAGTGTTTGTTGTAACAAGGTGAGTACATGGTGTACTACGCAAGTCACATAACCAAAGGTACTCACACCAACAACAAATTAGGTATGGAAGGGATAATTGGTGAAGCTGCAAGCACCTAAGCATCATACTACAACTTACGTCTAATTACTCCTATAAAGGATGCTGAAGTACTCGCCTCCTTGGGGGCTTCGAGGGAAAAAGGGCCTCCGCGCCATTTTTTTCACGGAGGCCTTTCAGGGGCTCTTTGCGCCGTCTGATCTTCTCGTACGACACTCATCGGGTGACCCGCTCGAGTGTCCACGACGACTGGACCGCAGACTGATACGTCTCAAACATGTCTATAATTTCTGATTGTTAAATGCTATTATATTATCATTCTTACATACTCTGGCAATCATTTTATATTATTTTTCTGGACTAACATATTAATCCAGTGCCACTGCGAGTTGCTATTTTTGCTTGTTTTTTGTTTTGTAGAAAATCAATATATACGAAGGTCCAAACACGACGAAACTTTTTAACGCTTTTTTCTAGAACATAAGAGACCCTAGAAGCTTTGGGGAGAGACCAGAAGACCCACGAGGGGGCCACAAGCCATGGGGCGCGCCCTGGGGGGTAGGGTGTGCCAGGCAGGTTTGTGGGTCCCCTGATGCTCCGTTTGCCAAAAGCATATGTTCCGACGTGATCCCATCTAGAGCCCTGTTCTGACACTCTATCGGAGGGGGGAGGGGTCATTTGGGGGGGGGCATCTTCATCAACCTTGTTGCCCCCATGGTGATGTGTGAGTAGTTTTTTTAGGACCTACGGGTCCATAGTAGTAGCTAGATCTCTCTCTCTCTCTCTCTCTCTCTCTCTCTCTCTCTCTCTCGATATTCAATACAATGGTCTCTTCGGAGACCCATATGATATAATTCTTGTGGTGTGTTTGTTGGGATCCGACGAATTATGAATTTATGATTAAATTGTTGATGAGGAGCATCCTATGGACATCACCATGTCAAGAGTCCGTTTGACAAGTGACACATGCGTCGTCTACTTCATGCATACAAAGGTGAATCATCTCCTTTACACGTGTCCACTTGTACCCTTCAAGGATGGTATACTACTTGACCTCTCTGTCGTGTGCATACATAGGTGTGAGCGGAGCTACACATTCATCGAGGAGGAGTCCAAGTATAGGAGAACAACTACACCATGCAAGTGGGAAGCCTGGAAGCGGAGAAGGAACCGTCGAAGAAGAAGGCAGAAGTTCCCAGGCGACCCTGTGCGCATGGGCCTCCCCAACCCCGTGCCCATGGGCCTCCCAGGCTAGACGGTCTTGAAGACCCCGTGCACACGGGCGTGTACCGTGCCCACGGGACCCCCTGTCCACGGGCCTCACAGACCCCGTGCACACGGGCTAAGGCATCAGGTCCCTAGATACCCCATGCGTACGGGCTCCACTGACCCTGTGCACACGCCCCCCCTGAGTGTTGATGCGGGCTTTGCCCATG